ATGATGATAAAATAACATACTTATGTATAATATATTACATTTCTGACTGTATGTCCCTGTAATTATTACACACTGTAGCTTTAAGCTTTTTTAAGTGTCTGTATTTGATGTTTACTCCCTCTATTGAGGGTAATAATAGTTGACATTGGGACTGAACATGAAATTAAATTGTGTTTTTGCATAAGCTGAGCAGCTCTTTGCCTCTTTTATCTGTGACATTAATGTTTTGTATGAACTGTTTTAACTGAACAAGCGGATGCTCTGTTGCCATGCATTTGTAGAATTCATTCTTTGAAACATTTTGTTGAGTGTTTTATTTTTTTTTTAGAGAAGTTTTTGCTTCAGTGAGCAGCAGCGCTGAAAATGGGGGTGGGGGGTGGGGGAGGAGAATTCAAGGAGCCAATGATTTCGTCAGGGGTCTACAGAGGGCCCCTGATACAATTACAATACTGACAAAATAATATAATGTACTGGTAATACAAAGTTGACTTATTAATATTTCTCCATGATCAACACCATGGCTAGCTTACTTTCCTCTGATGACAGCTCATTTCTAAAGAAAACTCTAGATTTATACATTTCACTGATGTTTTATCTGAGTTATCCATCCATCCATTTTCCATCACGCTTTATCCCAGCTGAGGTCAGGAGGGCTTGCTAGTTGTCAATGGGCTAGAGGTGGGGTACACCCTGGACAGGTTGCCAGTCCATTTCAGGGCATCACAGAGACAAACTTTTTTGGACTGTGGGAGTAAAGAACCCACGCATGCACACGGAGAACATGCAAACCTCTTGCTGCAAGGAAGCAGTGCTACCCACTGAGCAGCCCTAACTAAGTAATCAGTGCAGCTGATTAGCTCTGCTCCAAAAGGACATATAGATCAAACGAACCAAAACCCTTCCTTAAGTAAAAAAGACTAAAGTCTGTATTTAAAAAATATATATTTTAATTGTTTTAAAACTTTTAAATTGACATCCTGCCTCCTCTACCATTGGCTCCTCTGCTTCTATGAGTTTATTGTCAGCCAGATCAGAAGATGGTGCTGCTCCCTCCTCCTTTCACCTGTCTCTGAGAGTCAAGTAAAGAGGCAAAGGGAGAGACTGAATAATGATAAGTCACAAGGTCCTGATGGTAGCAGTGCAGCTCTGTGGGATTTTTCAGCACCTCTTCAACCTTAGCCTGACCCAAGAGATGGTTTCAGTGATGTGAACGTCCTCCCTACAGTAACAGGGCCAACAGCCCTCAACGACTGTAGACCTGTTGCCCTGATATCCTACGTCATGAACATTCTGGAGAGAATTCTGTTGGTTCATCTCAGCGAGCAAACAAGCAGCTATCACAACACTCTGCAATTTGTCTATTGCTGTGGAGTTCAACAAACCCACTGCCATTTAGAGAAGGCAGACAGCTCCGTGAGGATCGTGTTCTTTGATTCCTCGAGTCCATTTAATACAATTCAGCCTGAATTACTTTGTATGAAACTTCAGAAGACTCAGATGGAGGCATCGACAATTGCCTGGACAAAAGACTACCTGACAAACAGACCACAGTTTGTAAGACGGAAGGCTCAACTGTCTATTCAGGCAGTCAGCAACACTGGAGCACCACAGGGGACGGTACTCTTCCCTTTCCTTTTTACTCTGTACACCTCCGACTTCCAGTACCAGAGTCCAGTCATCTGCAGAAACACTCAGATCACTGCCATCAAATATTGCCAAGAAGCTGAGTAGAGGGAGCTACTGAACTGCTTTGTGGCATGGTGTAGAAACAGTCACCTGATCCTGAATGTAAACAAAACAAGGGAGATGATTGTAGATTTTAGAAGAAACAGGAACAACTTGAAACCTATTCACATCAAAGTAGAAGAACTGAAGGTGGTGGAAGAGTATAAATACATTGTTGTTCAACTGGTCAACAAACTAGACTGGAGACACACACACAACTGTGAAGCCGTCTACAAGAAGGGACAGAGCAGATGGTACTTCCTAAGGAAATTGGATCTTTTTTTATAGTTGTAACAAGATAATACATATCTTCTGTAGGTCTGTTGTGGACAATGCGATATCTTCATCATCTGCTCGGGTAACAAATCACTTAAAGAACCTCAACAAGCTAATACAGAAGGCTAGTTCTGTTGTAGGAACTCCTCTAGAACTTCTGGAGATTAATTAACAAATAAGAATTTAATGTAAACCAGTTCAATTCATTTCAGTTTATTTATATAGCACCAATTCACAACACATGTCATCTCAAGATACTTTACAGTTCACCAGATCATACAGTCAAATTGATTCAAAGTTTTCTATCTAAGGAAAATCAGTTGATTGCGTCGACTCATTGACTCAAATGCATTCCCTCACACTAAGCATATTTGTAGCGACAGTGGAGAGGAAAAACTCCCTTTTAACAGGAACAAACCTCCAGCAGAACCAGGCTCAGTGTGAGCGGCCATCTGCCGAGGCCGACTGGGGTTCAAGGAGACAGAAGCAGAGGATGAAGAGAGCACATCCAGCCAGTCACAGTTAGAGAAACAGGACCACACTGGAAAACAGGCAGATCTCCAACATCTATAAACAAAGGTGTTGATGGCAGAAGCACAGCTGATATTTATCTCCAGGATGGTGTCACAGCCAAACAGGGACAGACGAGGTGAAGCTACTGTGAGAAAAAGCAGAGAGAGCATAACGTTAGACATTGAACTAACGGATTCTGCAGATTGAGAGAATAGAGATAGAATGTAGCAGAATGATGAAATAGGGGTCCCTATGTCCTCCAGAAGTCTAAGCCTATAGCAGCATAACTATAGTTGACTAAATTCAATAGAATTTCGATTCATGGGGCCCAGAATCCCTAGGAGTCCCCTGTTAGTGAGAAAGTGAATGTGCACTTATGAAAGCGGAAGATGTTCTTCATTAATGTTCCTATGAATCTCTGCCATGCGATTAAATAAAAGCACAGCAGAGGGTGCTATTGAGCCCTGGACTTACACAGAGCCCACTGGAAACCAGCTTGCTCTTTTTTTCTTCCCAGTGTTTTCTTTTAGCCTGTCCAGCCTACACTGTAACACTACCTTTTAGCCTGTCAGAGTTTTTAATTTCATTTTTTTAACTATGATATGAATATATGTGCAAACAGATATGGTAGTAATTTAAATCTATAGTGTGCATAGAAGAAGTACCTTTAGGTATTGAGAATATCAAGTCAACTTCACGTAAAAATAAAGTGACAAAATGCACACAATGCGTGCTGCATGCCTCAGAATTAATGTCCATTAGTAGGAAATTCTATCAACATTTTATACAAGTTTTCTTTTTTTCAGTATGTTCCAGAGATTTCAGATATAAATGGAATTCTGATTAAAAAATGCAAAAAATCTGTAATGATTTTAGTAATCTCTGTTTGTGCATGAAGGATTTTGCCTAAAATATCACATTACAACACCAATTTGTTTCTTTTTTTTCAGTAAAACACCAAATCTTACCTTACTAAATCTCTGGAAATTGATTTAGAAAGAGTAAATTTTCTTTTGATCCACCTTTCTAAGTTATTACAAAAATATTTTTAAGGATTTAACAGGATTGATTTATCCGGATCACATTTTCACTGCTCTTGACCAAAGTTCTGAGCCAAAAACAGACTTTATAAGCTGTTTAAACCTTTCTACCGAGATTAAAATTGCATTTAACTGTTTACAAAAACTATATACATAGAGATAGACATTTAATTATATTTCCTAACAGTTTAAAACCCTTTTAAGGAAATGTCAATATGCAGGAGGGCCCCGAGTTTTAACCATGGGTAACACTTGTCAGCCTTGTCCCCATGTATTGCAGATTTTCCATCAGCTGGCTGAGATAAAGCTCTCACACTTTTCTGTTGCTACAAACCATTTTTTAAATCTGCCTCTGTTATGCCTCCACAGATTTGTACTGTTGCTATTGTCTTACTTGTTTGTACTTCCTTTATTTAAATAAAGCTCAAAAACCCCCCAAAAAAAAAGAAAAAAAAAAAAGAAAGGGGGTCCTGCGTGGGTATATGACGTCCCCGCCTTTACGAATTTGTCACTTCATTTGCAGTCCTGGTGTGCATAACTAGACATTCACATATTACAGTAATATAATGTAGAAATCCCAATAGGTACCTTGACATATTGTTTATATGATGTTATAAATGATATTCATTTTGTATGAATGTGATATTTGTGATAATGATATTGTTATAATGATTACAAGTAATAATTACAAAAAGTAGTATATGTGTTATTACACCTGTAAATGTTTATGAAAACCGTTTTCTTTGAGATGTTCTAATAATTTACTTGACATATTCATTATTAATTATCTCTTATTGTACATTTTGTTTTTCT